TTCAACCCTCCTTTCATAGGAATGTTTTGCTAATTTCTTCCCAACAATTTTCAAATTCACTTCAGTATCTTCCATCTTAAAATGAAACAAATCTTCCTTCACCCCACATTCATCTTATCCATCACTCCATGAGTCTGCTTCTCTCTTTTTATTTTTTTCTAACATTTTTTTTAAATTGTCAATGGGCTTTTATTTTATTTATTTATATGCGGTGCTGAGAATAAAATGCAGGGCCTCACACATGCTAGGCAAGGTCTCTACCACTGAGCTATAACCCCAGCCTTGAGTGTGCTTCTCTTTACCTTAAACTTCTTCTTTTTTAAATTTGTAATGCTTTATTGTGTTTTACAACATATCAGACTTTCACTGATAGAAATGAAAGAACTAAACAGGGTTCTAACAAGTAATTTGCAAAGTACCAAAGTTGACAATGAAAAAAAAAGTACTACTAATGAATAAATGCAAATAAAGAAAAAACAGAGGCATTTTATTTTCCAGAAGTGTAGGATAAACAGAAATGAGTGAAGAAAATTGATAAGAGAACACACAAGGCCACTCCTCTAATCCCAGCAGCTCAGGAGGCTGAGGCAGGAGGATCCCAAATTCCAGGCCACCCTCACAACTTAGTCCTGGTCTCTAAATAAAAAAGAGTATTGGAGATGTAACTCAGTGGTAAAGTGGCCCTGGGTTAAATCTCCAGTATCCCCCACATCCCTCCACCCCCACCCACACACACACACACACCCCGCCCCACACACACACACAAAAAAAAAATCAATTAACATGCAAGAATGTTTTAACACTCACCAGGGAAATTTTTTAAAACCACACAGAGTATGTAAAGTTGCAGCCTCGTAATACTGAGTGTCCCGCGGGGCACAGCCCCTTAGAGAGCTCCGTGGGCACCATCAAAGGAAGGAAATGCACCCATTTTGTTCCTAGACTGGAAACCCAAACATGCTCCCATTTGACTCAAATGACAAGTGAGGACAAAAATTGACTGCGAGAGTAGCCAGAGGACCTGCAGGACCTGAGAATGTGGCAGGCGCAGAACTCACATACATTCAGTAATCTCCTCCTCGACCTGATGTGACTGTATTCTCAAAGTCACCTTCCTCCTGGTCCGCAGAGACCGAGAGCCTCTCAAAGGCATCTAGGGCCTTGCATCTGGGGTCAGAGGCACTGGGGCCCTGAGGCCGGGTTCCAGCTGCTGGAGGCTGTCCTGGGAGCTGCACCGGGGGTACCCTCAGGCCTGGACTGGACTGGAGAAGCAGGATTCTCAAGAAATCCCAAGTTGCACTTAAGTTGCCCATTGCCTTGGGGTCTGCGCCTTTCGAAGCCAGCTGGCACTGGTGTAGGCGCCCCTCACTTGTGAGCGGTCAGGGTGTTTCATAAACCACATCTGCACATGTTGCTTCTTTAGGTTGAGCCTGGTGACCAGGGCCACCCGGACACCGTGGGATGGATAGGCATCCCTCAGGAAATGTTTCTGCAGCTCCTGCTCTTGTTCTTTGCTGTAGATCTTTGCAGGACAACTCAGAGCCCTTGAACCTAGTAAACCATGAAGTTCTTCCATCGCAGCTCCTGCGCTGTTCAGGTGAATCACACTGAAACTTCTTTAGAAGAGTTGTTCTTCAACACTCTCTGTACTTTCTCAGTGCACCAATGAAAACACTATTACGGAGGTCTGCCTCATCTTCCAAAAATCTTTTCTTTGATATCTAAAAGGAATCTCATGCTTAATGTGTCCAGGGTCTCTTTTTTTCTAGCCCCACAAAATAATCTGATCCTTCTCTAGTCTTCCTATTTCACTCAACAGCAAAGTATCCACTGAGTTCAAGCTCTGATTCTTCTTTTCCTCTAACACCCTATGCATAATACACAGTATGATTTGCAGAATATTCTTGCAAACTATATCCTGAATCCACTTCTTTCTCAGTTTCCTGTCACTTCAATCTCATCACCATCATTAACTATTTTGAGGGTCTCCTCTCTTCCACTCTTGACTCATGCATCCAGCTTCTGTACAGCAATCTGGGTGATCTTTTTAAAAACATGGATGAGATCAGGTCATGTCTGACAGCCTCCCATTATACTCAGAATAAACTCAAACTCTTTTCAGGGCCTCTGTAAACTGTGTAACCTGGCCCTGGTCTCTACCTCAAACACTGTCTCAGATAACTCCTACCATCCACTCCATCCATTGCTCCAGACAGAGGGCATCTATGTATTCTGAAAACACTCTGTGCTCCAGAAAAATCCCAGAGCCTTTACTTCTGTATGGTTTTCCTAACCTTCTTTTGGTCAGTTCCTTCTTACCTCAGCTCTAAAGTCACTTCCTCTCCCTGACCATTCATCCTAAAGTAGCCACCATCCGACCCATCTCTTTTTATTACATTATTCCATTTCACTTGTTCAACAAATGAAGTAATTTTTGTTGGCATTCCAAGAGCAGGTAAAACTATTTGTAAAGATAACCTCTTGGGAGTGTGTAATAAGGAGCAGCCTTTGGGTGAGATGATCTCTGAGAAAGTCCAAACACATTATCTCATCTTTCAGGTCAGTACCTAGGTTGCACCGGTAGGTACAATTGGCTTTCTTAAATGTCCTTTGGACAGGTTTGAAATTTGATGAGTATGATCACAATTTCAGCACGAGCTCTAATATCCAGGTTCTTTGACTAAGTGTCAAGGACCCAAGAATTTTGGATTATATATTCTATGTTCCCCTGTCTCAATAAGAAACATCAGCTTGAGGGTCTTCTTTTTGTGACAGTGTTCAACCTATCACTATTTAGACCTTGTAAAGACTTTAATGATGATCTATGGAATGATCTGACCCTTCTCAGAGTATAAAAACTCTCCCTAGTAAATTTAAGAAATGACTGGGGTTTTTTTTTTCCACTAAATTTCCAATAAAAATGTGTATTCAGATGAAGTAGTGCACACCTGTAATCCCAGGGGCTCGGGAGGCTGAGACAAGAGGATCATTGAGTTCAAAGCCAGCCTCAGCAAAAGTGAGGCAATTTCTCTAAATAAAATACAAAATAGGGCTGGGGATTTGGCTCAGTGGTAGAGTGCCCCTAAGTTCAATCCCCGATACCAAAAAAAAAAAAAAAAAAAAAAACATGTAACTAACTTTGTTTCCTTCTGACAAAATGGTGGATAATACCACTTACATTTTCAAAAGCTAACTTTTCAAAAGACCTTTGAGTTTTTTAATAACACTGAAGGATGAGAAATGTACACGGGTAATCTTCCTTTACTGCTAATGGGAGTTAAACCCACGTCCTATGGAATGAAGTTCTCTTCCCTGCTATAATAATAGCTGTTTTGTTTTGACTTCAGAAATCCTGGAATCAGTGTTCAGCCAACAGTAATTACTGCTCATTACAATAATCATCACCATCAGCCTGATCAGTCCCCCGAGGCACAAGTCAGGGTCTAAGGAAATGCATTTTTATCTAGTATGTTGAAGAATTTTACCTGAGGCCCAGGGAAGCCTCTCTGGGAGCCAGATTTGATGACTGACACTGGCAGCTGTTAATATATTGAATTCCTAAGTCACAATTTTTATTTTAAGTGTTTTCTGAGTGAAACCACATTCAAAGGAACCTGAAATTTCAATCCCCTATTGAACAATCTTTACAAGTCCTATGTAGAAGATAGAAACAATAGTAATGGTGGCTAAATGGTTAGAATTTTATCAAGCAAGGAAGGTAACATCAGCAGCAAACCATACTACAGATTCATGGAGACCCATTATTGATGCTTTCTGGCTAAAAGTTCCATTGACAACTAAACAAATATTAAACAAAAATAAATAAATAAGACATCAGAAGGAGAGGCTAAGTTAACTAGAGAGGAACAGTGATTGAAACCTGCAGCCATAATGAAGACTAGAAAGTAAATTTTTGAACCTACATGAAGCCAATAAGCTGTCCCTAAGTCCATTTTAATTCATGTGCAGCATTTGTCTACTCTAAAGCGTATGAATAAATCTGCAAAGGAAATTCATATTCTAAAACATGAGTTGGCCAATACACAAACAGGTTAAGATGGTGTTTCCAAATGGATATAGTTGAAGATTTACAATCCTTAAACAAGATTTCTCTTACACAATTCTTTCCCTTTATTTTAACTGTGACTATTAAAACAGAGATTTAGTGAGCTGGTTTCAAGATTAAAAAAAAAAAGATAATTTTAAAAGTCCCTTAAATCTTTGAATTGGAGAGTGACTAAATTATTTATAGTAAAACTACTTTCACTACCCCTTTCCAGGCCCCAACCTCTGGAGCAAGGATTGCTCTTTAGGCAGTAGCCTTCACAAAAGCCACCATCCGGAGCCAACTTCCACAGATCACCAGGAGAGCCCCCCTCTTCCAAGCTCATTCACACCTGAGAGCAGTGCAAACCATGAAGGCAAGATGGGTGAAGCATTGTAAGATTTATTATCTCCACTCACTTAAGTCTGCTGTGAAATGAACTCTCAGCACTCCTAAGGAAATCTCAAAGACGCAGGCTCAGATTAGCCCTTTACACAAGACTTCAACTTCTTTCCTGTTTTACCTCATCTTCTGCACCAATCTTTCCAGACCCCACCCTACACTTCTAATGTCTGTTTACTTCATTTTTATGTGATTTTCTCATTATAAAAATATGAGATAGGGCGTCAGTTACCATCATAATCAGGAATGATGCACACACAGTTTGGATTTACTAAAACTTTAACTCATTTTGGTCAATTTCTCACTAAAAAATTCTGAAGTTCTCCTCTCCTTGTTTTTCTGTTTTGTCACAGGGTCCTGGTGACTAAACATGTCTTCCTGATTTCACTAACTCCACACATTATATTTCTTCTAATATGTCAGGGAGGATAGACTTATTGACATGATAAATAGAACAAACTGGCTCCAACAGTAGAATGTTCACTTGGGCTTTTGAAATAGCCCTGGTAGGAAACTTTGGCCAGCGTATTGGCTTTCCTCCACATGGTAATTCAGGGACCCAAGCTCCTCCATATTGAGACTCTGTCATCATTGTGCAGGATATTTTCTTTATCTCCATTTTGCCTGAGAAAAAGAAAAGAGAAGGTCTGGGATTGTGGCTCAGCGGTAGAGCGCTCACCTCACACAGATGGGACCCGGATTTGATCCTCAGCACCTCATAAAAATAAAGGCATTGTGTTGTGTCCATCTACACCTAAAAAATAAATATTAAAAAGAAAGAAAGAAAAGAGAAAGGAGGGTAAGTGTGTGAGACAATGCAAGAATTTTCAGAGTTAAATGATTGTATTATTAAATGTAAGCTAATCACTGGATTAATCCACTGATGTGAATTAATTGGGTGGTAACTATAAGCAGTTAAGGTAGGATTGGAGGCAGCAGTACAGTGAGGTGTGCCTTTGGGGAAGCAGACCTTTCTCTGCTTCCTTTTGCCATGATCTGAACTGCTTCCCTTTCCATGCCCTTCCTGCTATGATATTCTGCCTCACTAGGGCCCAAAGATATGGAGTCAGCTGACCATGGACCGAACCTCTCAAACTGTGAACCCCTAGATAAACTTTTTCTCCTCTAAACTGTTCCTGTCAGGTCATCTATACACAGCAACAAAAAGCTGACATATGCTTAATGTTATCTCTTCTAAAATGTGGCTACATTCCATAAATCAAATTGTAGATCAACTTCTTGTTTGGTAAACCAAAATACAGACTATCTAATTGGTTGTTGTAAATCAAATGTCCTCATCCATGTGTTTTCTGTCCCCCATCTCATTTGGAGGGGTGTTGATCTGTCTGCAATAATTTCCTACATTGTGTTTAGTTGTAGACTTTTTTAATATGTTTAAGAGCACAAAAATTCTCAGGGTTATAAATATATAGAACTAATAACTGAGAACTAAAACTAAACTACTAATGGGTGACATTTTATTTACACTTTCCTCAGCCTACACAAATGAGTGAGCAGAACTACATATTCTAATTCTCTAGCTAATCTTTTTTTAATTAAAAAGAATTTAATTTTTGATATTTATTAGTTAAATATCTCTATGGAACCATTGAAGCATAGGAGGCTAATCTTCCCAACAACGTTCTCTCTTACATGAGTTTTTCCTGGAAAACAAATTAGAATCCTTCTATTCTTGAATCCTTGACCCTAATTTGTTTTCCAGGAGAATCCAGCTGACTTGCTGGATAAGCCCACGGAGTCAGTCTGTATGAGTCACCAAGTTTTCATGTTACTCAAAGATGAATTATTTTCAACAGTACTGCCTGTCTAGTCAGCAGTCCTGAAAAATCCAAAAAATATGTAGGTCAAAGGAAGAACTAAATGAGAGAATGTCCATGACTTAGTTCCTCATGTATCCACTCAAAGGAAACTGAGTCACATAATTAAAAAAAAAAATGTGCTCTGACAGTTGTTGGTATCATCTTTAGATAGAGAAAGTTATATAAGTTTAGACATGACTTCAGAAATTAATAAATCAAGAGTAGTTGGACCTGGATTAACATAACTTAAAATGAAAGACAACAGGGAAGTACTCTGAAAGGCGGGCATCTCCTAATGGACATCACAAAAGTCAAAGTTATGGTTCGTGGCTTTACAGGTTCAAAAAGTTTCCCTCCACAGTAGACAAGAATTACCAGACTCAAGGAAACTACTTCATGATAACCAAACACACAGGGGAGTGGTAGGAATCAAAATGCCATCTACTCATTTCAGTAGAAATGTGACTTTGTCACACAAAAGAATGGTCATTTTGGCGTGACCTGTTGTCTGATTCCATACCTACTGCCAGAACAAACCCCTGAGATGGAGTAACTTGTAAACAACAAAAATGTATTGCTCACAGCTCAGGAAGCTGGGAAGTCCTAGATCAAGGCCCAGAAGATTTGGTGTCTGGCCAGAGCTGCTCTCTGCTTCCTAGATGGATCCTTCTTGCTACACACACCCTCTCATGCAGAAGGAGGCAAACAGACTCCTTCACACCTTTTTAATTAAGGCACTAATCCCATTCATAATCACCTCCCAAACACCCCACCTCTTATTACCATCACCTTGGGATTTAAGTTTCAACATATGAATTTGCAAGTTGAACATGCAAAGCACAGCACCTGTACTTTTTCTGTAAGTAGTTAATATTTAAATCATTATAACCAGGAAGCGCCTGGTAAGCAGTGAGGAATTTGAACTAAGGGAGTTATTTGTAAGATTCAAATATTTGATGGCTCTGGATTGATCATCTCATTTTGTCATTTTCAAATTCTGCAGGACAACTGGAGCTTATTTCTGATAGAGGCATAGCAGATGCTCCAGGGATGAAGGATGAAGTGTCACAAGGAACACACACAGAGATAGATATAGATATGGATATGGATTCATACTGCCTCTTCTCCCCTCTCCCTCTGCTCTGATTGAACTATAATAGCCCACCCACAGTTCTACATGCTTCAGCAACCCCCTAACCTGGAGGAACCCAGAGGACAACCAGGGAGAGGGATGCCAGGGATGAGCTAGCCTATGCAGAGAGCATGAAGGATTGTGACACCTTCTCAGAACTGCAAGTGGATTGGTAAGAGTGGAATACAGTATCTGTGAGGAGATAAAGAGAAGAGGTAGTAAGAAAACAAACTTACAACAGTCACTAATATGCCATTATGTAAAAACGTGAGTATGTAACAGAAGTGAGTCTGTATTATGTATTTGGGGAGTTCAAAACCCAATTGAGTCGAATGTATGAAAGATGATATGTCTTGAGCTCTGTAATGTTTTGAACAATCAATAAATAAAAAAAAATAAAAAAAGAAAAAAAAAAAAAAGAAAACAAACTTAAGATGTAAGCAAGAGGGGCTGGGGGTGTGGCTCAAGCGGTAGCGCACTCGCCTGGCATGCGTGCTGCCCAGGTTCGATCCTCGCACCACATACAAACAAAGATGTTGTGTCTGCCGAAAACTAAAAAATAAATATTAAAAAAAAGATGTAAGCAAGAAATAAATGATGAAGGAAAGACCTTGTAAGCATTGCTAAGTTATTTGGATATTATACAGAAAGCTAAAGAAATTTCAGTGTACCCGTGACATGGTCAGATTTCAGTTTCAGAAATATCATTTTTGCTGAAAAATAGAAAGTGGAGTTATCAAGGGCGGTTCAATTTATGCAAGAAAGGTTGTGTTCCATGCATAGCACCCCCACCCTGATACCCCACCCTGAAACCTCACCCTGGGACTTTCCTGCTATGCCACCAGTCCCAGCTGCTAGCTCCTGCATTTCACCATCCGGGAGCTCTCTCTTGCTGCTGGAGCTCACTTAGTTGCCTGTGGCAAGCTTGAAGTGTTGGAGAATTAATATCCCAGCAACATTAAAAGGGAGGAGGCTGGGGTATAACCCTGGAGCATCTGCTATGCCTCTATCAGAAGTAAGCTCCAGTTGCCCAGCAGCGGCTAGTTAGATAACGGACCTTTTGGGCACTTTTCCTCTCTTTGTTTTACTTCCTGTGTTCGTCAACGAAAAACACTATCCTTGTGGTTTTTTGCCTCCCCAATAAATTACTCGCACTCAGATCTTGTTCTCACAATCTACTTTTGGGGAATTCAAAGTAAGAAAAGGGCACCATAGGTGAGGGATGATAAGAACCTGAATTAAACCAAGAAGGGAGACCTGGAGACAAAGGGAAGTAGCCTGGAATATACACACAAAAAGTATTAAGACTAAATATGAAAGATACTGGAGAATTCCAGGATGGCGGGAATGCCAATCTGGATGACAGGCATGGATAGAAGTGCTATTTGCCTAGTAAAACAATGGAGGGGAAGTAGGATGTGGGGGAAAATCATAGATGCAGAGTTGAACACGCTGAGTCTGAGACAAGTATGTGGAGTTTAAAAGTAGGACATTAGACATATCAGCTGGAGCTCAGATATTTATAAATTTTGTGCTCTGCACCTAGACAGACTTCATATTTGGAAAAATAAAAGATGAACATAGGCAGAGCCCCCTTCTCACTTGAGATAAATCAACACCTGAACAGATAACATTTCCCAGTTGCCTTATGGGCTTGGGCATGGTCATGTGACCTAGGCTTGGCCAATCAGAGCACTCCACCAGGATTTTTACCTACTGTGGGGTGATGCACAGAAGGGAGGGCAATCTAATTTTCCAGAGTGCTTGTGTAGAACTGAGAGTCCAGTATTTCTGGGGTGATGACGGTAGCAATTATGTCCTCACTCCTGTAGTTTCCCACATAGATTTTTGAAGGAGGAAACCAAGAATTCCTGTTAGATTACCAGTATCCTAGGAACTGCAAGCCCAACTTGACTTTGGCTTTTGAAAAAAGGCTCAATGTTCTATTTCTTAACCTGTTAGGTATGCTCAGGAGTGTTTGTTTCATATTTTGTTTGTTTTGTATAAGCATACCTATGTATTTTGAGCATTCTTTTGTATGCATATTTCACAATCAAAGTTTAACATCAAACAGAGAAACATGGTTTTTGGAAGAAGGTAACAACATAGAAATTATGTTCAAGGGTGAAAATTATATTGTGTTTGGAACTTGCTTTGAAATAAGGGATAAAAATGAAAAAGGCTTGAAAAATGTTGAGAATTGTTAAAACTGAGAAACAGATAATGGTGCCCTTTGGGGATATTCTTTCTTTATTATTGCATATGTGTTGTCTGAAATTTCCCCTAATTATATAAGTATTTGGGTTAGAACAATGTGATGGGGTGCAAAGGACAAATTAGTAGAGTTCTTTGTGTATGTGCGTGTCTTGGAACTCAGGATGGAATCCAGGGCTTTGAGAATGAGAGTCAAATGCTTCACTGCTGAGCTACATCCCAGCCCACATAGGACAAATTGGAAGACAGAAAATACTAGAGACAGAAAGGGCATCCAGGGCTGCTGGAAGAGGGTCAGTTTTAGGAATAGTTCAAAAGAAACCCAATGCCTCACACCTTAAATATGACCAATATTTGTTGATTGATCTTAATCTAGAAACCTGGCGACAAGAAATGGACTAAATATTTTTTTATCAGAAAATGAGCACTTTGGGAATAATCTGAAGATTTGAATCACCAACAGCCCCAGATGGTTGCACTTTGGTATTTCAGATTCCTCAGGACTCAGACCTTCCATTCACCTGTGTGCCTGGCTCACATTTTTTGTCTGGTAAACTACGGACATTTTCCTCTCCTTGGTAGTTACTGTCACTCTTGAGATTATTAATTCTACTTTCCTGCTCCAAAAGCTGAGAAAAACTTTTCCCCCAAAGAGATTTACAGTCTTGTCACCAATTTTGGATAATCAGGGTTTGAAGGTGCTACTCCATTGCCTTGTTCTTAAAGCTTTCCAGAACCATCTCCAACCCCGTGACGACCATCATCACTAAGAAGAGAAACTTGGAATCATTTCCCAAGGGCTGTCTGGAGGGTATTTAAGTGACACCAGCCTGGGCCACTAACAGAAACCAGTTCCCACGGGTGGAATAAAATCTTCCTTTCTAGGGCTCCCTCCCCTTCTATTCAGTCTGAAACACCCAGGACATCCTGCATTGTCTAGCTTTATTCACCATTTTATCCAGCATGCTGTAGGGAATGTGATCAAAAGAGAATCCCAGAATATAAACCCATCACACCTGCAAATTTTATTACAAGTGTGTTGTTTGTTTGTTTGATTCAGATGGGGGAAGAATAGCGGAAAATGAGGAGCTACAGGAAGATTGTACTCACAGCCCAGCTCCTCTGCTGCTGTGGGCTTCTTTCCAGTTGGTGCAACAGGAGATCTGGGGCCTGTGTTTGCTTTTCTTGGCATTCTCAGAGGTGGTGTCTGTAGCTGAAGACACTGGGGTTCTTGCCAGAGGCCCTGCTGGAGCTGAGACTGTGTGATTCCAGGTTCCAAGATCTCATCTGCTCGAGGCAATGGGGAACATTTTGGTCTTGGCAAACGCTCTCCTGCCGGCACTCCTGTCCACCCTGTTCTTCTCCCTACTTCTCTGACCCCAAGCAGAGCAATGGAGTGACCTCTGGACACACACAGCTGGGCAGCACGGCTGTCTCCGGAATTCCCCATGTTTCCCTGGGGAACTCGCCACATTGGACACAAACATGATTACAAACTGCTAGCGACAAGCACATTCACAACAGGCCCCATGAGGGGAAAAGGAGAACCAGTCTTCCTTCCCTGGTAGTTGGTCCCACTGTCCTGCCCCTTTCACACTCCAGTATACTAGTAAGTGTTTCCACCACACAAACGAGCACTGACTAAGCACAGAAAAAAACAAAATATATTTTCTGTAAGTGGGAGACGTGGTCCTCTTTAGGTTGTTGTGGGTCTCTGACATTGGGGTATGTGTTTTCTCACAGTGACTGAGCCACATCCCTGGGTCATTTTCACCTCTTTGGAAATCCGGATGTGGTCAATCTAAGTCTTCCAAACTATTGCCCTCCATTTATCCCCCAACCCTTCACCTCTCACTTGCATGACCCTCCAGCACTCTTCCTATCGCTGTGGCCTTTCCTCCCCCACATCCCAGTAGCCCTTCACAGGTCTTCACTCCCAGGCACCTCAGTTCTACCCTCCCCTTTATACAAAGGAAGAGCTCAGCTCCTCCTCCACCCCTCCACCCTCCAGGTCTGAGCAGGTGTTTTTCAACTTCCAGTCTACAGAGTGGAGAGACAAAGATCAGAGCACCATCATACATCCATCCTCTTTCCCAGCTACCTGCTCTATAAGAACATTTCTGGCTCTTCCTTCCAAAATCCTTTCAACTTTTTTCTGGATAAAATAGAGTTTTGGTTAACAGTATGATTCTAGTTGAGAAAGTCTACATTTATCTAATATGTGTGTGTATATTTATTTTATTTTATTTTACTTATTTAGATGCTGGTGGATTAAACGTGGGGCCTTGAATATTCTGAAGCATGGGCTCTACCACTGAGCCATGGGCCATACCCCAACCTGATATAATCATTTACCTTATTGATTATTAAGCTTTAATGTATACTAGGTCCCTGATAAAGTATTAGCCAACTTGATTATTACAACAACTCTTTTGCAGATGAAGACATTGTTATCCAGAGAGATTAAGTTGCCAGAGATAATACAATTATTAAATGGTAGGATTTGAACTTAAGAACTCTGGAGATGAGTGCCACAGCAGACACCTTAATCCCAGCCACTGGGGAAGCTGAGGCAGGAGGATCACAAGTTCAAGGCCAGACTCAGCAATCTAGAGAGGCCTTAAGCAACTTAGGGAAAGCCTATCTAAAAATAAAAGATTAAAAGGGTTAGGGACATGGCTCAGTAGTAAAATACCTTCGGGTTCAATCCCAGTACCAAAAACAAACAAAAAACAACCAATATTACCCATGTTTTCAATCACACTGACGTTGTTACATAACCCATAACAAACAAGGCGCCCTCCTTTAAAACTTCTTCCTCTCCCCCAATCAAACCTGGAGCCTTGCACATGCTAGGCAATTCTCCTCTCTGAGCCACATTCCCAGTGCTCTTGCCCTCTCTTTACAATAACCCTTGCCCAGATTGCTATTATGTACCAAATTCAAGAAAAGTTGGCCACCTTGCTCCAGAAGCCTAACCAACATCTTCCTTCCACTTTTCCTTTGTCATCACCCTAGGGATCTTCCCAGGTAGTCACTCTGAGAACCCTTCTAATATCCTTGTATCCATTAGGATGCTTGTAGCTACAAGAATCCGACCTCCTAATGCCAGCTAACGTAACTGATTTAAAAAAATATATATTTCACATAGCAGGAATTGTTAAGGAATGATCAGAATGGAGGCTACATGATGGAGCAGTTTCAAAACACCACCATGGCTTCAAGGGTCAAGGTTCTTTCTACAACTCCAATCTGTAAATTTAATCCGAAAGCTGGTTCTCCTCAAGAGTTTAGAGTGACTCTCAGGAGCAATTTACGGGACCATTCTCTTTTGCTGTTGTCCCAGTGTGTGGGCACTGGGGGGCAGGGGGAGGGATGAGGGATTCTTCTCCAGTCAAGTCTGATTGGCATAATATAAGTCACATGCTCAACCCTACCAGTAACAGGGGACTCTGTAGACACCCGCTGCATTGATGCCATTTTTTTCTCTTTTTACTTCCTAAAATGATAGATTTAAACTGAAATTCCTGAGCAATTATCTGATAGTCTCTTGATCTTACCTCCTTCAAAGTCTGGCTCAGCTTTCAAGGGGAGTTCATGCTCCCAAGCCAATGGCTAAGCAAGATGGTGGTTCACTGGCACTAGCCATTTTTCACCCAATGCAGGACACCACTAATGGGCATTCATTGTCCTGAAGCTCCTGGCAAAGAGTTTGTCAGGTCTACATTGTGGTCTGTTGGCTCCCCCTGCCCAGTCCTACCTCCTTTCCTTTTCCTTTCACTGATGTTACTTCTCATAAGCTTTTTGCACTTCTAACTCCATCTCAGCACCTGCTTCCTACAAAACCCATTCTGCAGCAGTATCCTAGCAAGCTGCCACTTCTGTGTCTGGTCCATCCAGATATCTCACACCTTCGCAAAGAAGATTGTCCTTCACCATCCACTCATCCTGCTAAAAATATTTATTTATCTGCTTGTGGTCAGTCCTTCGACTTGTCACATTCTTACTTCATCAGCCACCATCTACTTTCCTTTGCTTCATGCCTTAGCCTGGACCAAACCTTTGCCACAACTTTGGTATCACCTGATTTTTTCCCTCATCTTGAAGCCAATCCCCAGGCCTGGGATAGCTGCAGCAAAATTTCCTTTCTTCTCTTCTGCTGAGTCTACAAAATACTGAAAACTGGCTTTAATGGCATAATGACAAATCCATGCTTTCTAACTTTAATTGGACCCTTGGGGCTACCCAGGGCTACTCATGCCAAATTTTTTTTTTTCTAATTTTGCTAATCGCTGTAGACACCCACTTCACTGATGCCAAATGTTTTCCTCTCTTTTTACTTCCTAATGTCCCCTCCTTCTAGCTTCTCCTCAACCTCTGAAGAATTTTTAACATCCTCTTTTTCTATCCATCAAGTATGCAATCCTTTTTTTAAAATATTTTTTTAGTTGTTGATGGACTTTATTGTCTTTATGTGGTACTGAGGATCGAACTCAGTGCCTCATGCATGCTAGGTGAGCACGCTACCACTGAGCCACAAGCCCAGCCCCAAGTATATAGTCCTTTAACTTCCCCCTAGAGTGGGGGTCCTTTGTTCCTTTTATATTACCTACTCAGACCTATTATATCCTAATTTTCCTTGGAGAAATTTCTCCTCTCTCTTCCCCAGTCCACGAAACTCCAGTAGGCTGGCTCCAATTTCCCAAAGCTGGGTGATTCAGGCCTAGTCCCATATTACTCAATAAATGGATCAGAAGTGGGCATGTGGAAGAAGCCAGACCAACAAAACCCTTTTAAGAGCTACTGGGAGGAAATTAACCTTTGGATAAAGGTTCCTGATCTATAAATTCTGAACCTCCTGTATCTTTCCCTATTCTGATTTGTTCCTACCTGTCTCTGTTAGAGGTACTATTCTGGTTTTTATAATTGTCCTGATATACATTCATTTTCTTTGGCAACTTATTTTAGCAATCACCCTTTTTCCATTGACTTCTTCCTCCTTGCCCATATTCACAAAGGGTTTGGGCTGAATAAATGTTACCAAACTATTTTGAAAGTGTGTTATTTGATGAGAACAGACAGTAGACATTTCTGAAAGTATAAGAGCATGGCTCTTTGAAAGTAACCTTTTTCTGGGTGAAAGAGGGTCGTTCTGGAGGGTGGAGGGAGAAGTTTGACACAATTTCTATCCTTCCATGTTCTCTGTATGTTCCTCAAAAGAACAGTAGATCCTACCTCCACATTCACACACTCACTCTTGCTCCACTTGGCAGTCAATGTATCTTGTTGTTCTTGAGAAAGTTCTGTGGATTTTTTGGGGGGGGGAGCGGGGGAGAACACAGGATGAGCAGCATATAACAGATTCTGCAAAATTCAGAGGACTCAGGAGAGAGCAGATCTGTGCATACCAATGACCCTTAACTGTGCTCAGAAACTTTTCAAAGCTCAGTTGAGAGTTTTGGTTTTTGTGGTCATTTTCTTTTTTGTTTAAATTTATCTTAGATAACATATTTGCATGATTATAATCCAAAACTATAGTCAGGTGCAGTGGCACATACCTATAATCTCAACAACTCAGGAGGCTGAGGCAGGAGGATTGCAAGTTCAAAGACAGCCTCAGCAACAGCAAAGCACTAAAAACTCAGTGAGACACTGTCTCTAAATAAAATACAAAATAGGGCTGGGGATGCAGGCTCAGTGGTTGAGTGGCCCTGAATTTGATCCCTGGAACCCCACCCCTAAAATTCAAAACTGTACAAAACAATAAAAGAAGAGGAGTTTCATTCCATTGCCCATCTACCTAGTTTTCTGAAATTTTTTGTTTGTGCCTCTGTATTAGTTCTAAGGCTGAATGAAAAATTAGAAGTAATGTAGTGGCTTAAAACCAAGCATATTTATTACCTCACAGTTGCTGTAGGCAAGTAGTCTAAGAAGGGTACACTAGGGTTTTCTGGTCAAGGCCACACAAAACTAAAACTAAGGATGTCAGCTAGGACAACAGCCTTCCTAGAGCTCAGGAACCTCTTCCTAGCTCATTCAGTTCCCAGTGGTTTGTAGGATTGAGGTTTCTGGGCTTTTTTTTTTTTTTTTTTTTTTTCTGGCTATTGGCTTAAGGTCTCTCCTAATAACTTGAGGCCACTCTCAGGTCCTAGCCACATGGCCCCCTCCAAATGCAGTTTGGAGAAAGATGGCTGCTCTCTTTTTTCCAGGCTAGCAGGAAAGCATCACATTGATTGATCCCACCCACTCTCAAGGAGAGGAAGTTATGCAAGGCATATACCTAGGAG